AAGTTTGTTTAAAGCCCCTAAAAGAATCCCCAAAAAAAGTCCATTTTAACACTTCTAGCCCCTAAATCTGGGGGAAAAACCCCTAATTTGATTTAACCACATGTTTGAAGTAGGTTGAGAATATTGAAAAGTATCTTTTCTATAATTAGCTTGGATTGGATACGTGTGAGCATTATTTTGCCGAGCTTCTTCGAAGTTGCTGCACTGACCACATACCTGCGAGCAGTGGCTGGCAAAAATTGTATGAAAATCCGTATCTGTCGTGTTGAGCGACCAATTAAATGTCATAGTAAACTCATATCTATCGTGTAGTTTAAAAATGGAAAGATCTTTTACTCCGATACATGGCAGCCGAGGAGGTAAATTATCAAAAGTTTTATTTAAATTTAATAGAAAGCTGTTTATAAAAAATAAAACAAGTGAATACTTTAACACGGGAAAAGTTATTTGTTTGTTGTGTTGTGAGTCATTGATTTTAGTTTTGAATTCAGCACGGTATTTGAGAAAAGTGGCCACAATTAAGCATTTATGGACTAACGTACGTTAACACGTTGATCCATTAATGTATCTTTTACTGGTCGCTGCAATAATGTACTATGATTAATGCATTTATCTTTTCATAATATTGTTATTCTCCTTAGTCTTGCATTAATCAGAACTTGGTGACTTATTTCTTTGTCCTACTATCCGCAAACAACCCGAGATCTATTAAAAAAGTACGAAAAAACGAGTGAGTCTTACAGTAGTCGCGTATGATGTGTAACATTTGAAACCTCACCTTGTATTAGTAAAAAAAGAAATATAACCTGTAGTAGGTTTTTTTTTTAAAGAAGGAATAATCCATTTGAACATTATGTTCTAAAATCAAATCAAATAGCGCGCGCTTTCGCGACATCCTGTTACACACTTCCGTCCCATTCACAAAATCACTCCCACAATTGCAGGAAAGATGTCACCAAGCAAGTTGCACTTGCAGGCCGGAAATGTGAAGGTTGCTGGTGTGGCAGCTAAAACTGCTACACCTGCGTTTGAACTCCACCGCTACCGAACATCAAGCGGGGTGGAGTCATTTACCAGGGCCGATATAAAAGAAACCGTCTTCACTAAGTTTAGAATACCACATTTTAAACAAATCAATGTAGAAAAAAAAATGGGTGCGTGTACTTATGTAGGCGCGTGAGAAGTTATCCTTCTTTCGCATCGTTTAAAATTAGTTTTTAATTGCATGCAAATAATTAATTACAATAAATTAATAAAAAGTCTGGAAAAGGACACAGTCAATAAAGTTCAGTTTTAATTTGAAAAAATAAATAAATAATCAAAATATTCAATTAAAATCGCTACTGAATATAATTTATTAGAACATGTGTGATTTGCACTTGTATGAAACACAAACACGTATTCCGAATATACAAACTAGAAACATGTGGATAAGTATTATAAATATGAATACCTATATGTGTTACTTTATTACAAAAAATAAAGATGTGGTTTTTGGTTCTACTACACCAATGGTCAAGAGATGGCGCTGTAGTCTCCTGAATCGCGCTTTGGTTCCGTTGTTCCAGATTAATAAATACTTTTGATAGGCCTTCACAATGCAGTCGTTAGCACCCACAAAATAGAGATTCTATTTCTATTTTGTTGGTAGATTTTCTTAATGTGCCGTAAACACAAAAGTAACAGCATGAAGTTGGTCGCTAAAGCGACCAACTTCATGCTGTTAATTTTTTGTGTTACAGTAATGCGCGCGCATCTTAAAATTTCACTCTCATCATTTTTTCATAACGCGCCTAAAGAAGTATAACTTCAAAAATATGTACTTAAAAATATGGTATGTTGTATAGAGGCAAAGCCGGCACCGGGCAAAGAGTTCGTATGGGCGAACAGCTCCTCGCTGCGCCTCAACCTGCTGGCGTGGCGCGCGCGCTGCCCCGTGGCGGCCTGGGCGGTGTCGCTGCGGCCCGCGCCCGCGCCCGCGACCAACGTGCCCGCGCCCGCCGCCTGGACCGACCTGCTCGCCGACGGGGAGAGCGCGCTGGTATCAACTAAACTGACCATTATTTTTAATAATCATAATTTATAATAAAGTAATAATAATATTTTTTATTGACTTAGTGTATGCGTCTGTAAAAGTGTATGTGTGTGTTATGTTTGTGTGTTGCGTGTGTCCGTTTGTTTGATTGTGGTTTTTTTGACTGCGTAAGCTATTGGTCGCAGATGGCCTTTACAGCGTCACCGGGTTTGAGGACGGCGAAATCGTAAGAGGACCTCAAGCCGAGAATTAGCGAGTGCCTCTAGAGGTATTCCAGGTGGATTGCATACCCATGGGCAGTGGCGGCGCTAGGCGTCGGCGACGTCGGCCACCGCCGACGGCCTCGGGCCTGAGGGGGCCTCGCGCCTGAGGAGGCCTCGCGCCTGAGGGGGCCTCGCAAAAAATTTTTACAAGTTACCTATTTATTTTCGTTTCTCCTGGCCTGGCTTAGGTAGCCGACCCCGAACAATTTGGGGGAAAAGCTAAGCAGATGATAATGACTTTTATTATTTTCGAACACGTGCGTGATGAAAGCGAGTAGTACTTTACGGGTATTCAGAATCGTCTGTCTGGCAACACTATTTTTGTAATTAAATAATTATCTAAATTTGTAAATATTTTTTGTCATCATTTGATTATCAACAATAAGACTCGTTTACTCATAGGTTATTTTATAATTTGGCTCACTTAATTTAACGGTTTTTTACTGCGAAGTAAAATAGGCCTCGCGAACTTGATGTCGCCGACGTCCATATGTGGTCTAGCGCCGCCACGGCCCACGGGGGGAGTCTCCCTCCGTCTGGAGCCTCTAGACCACTCAAACTTGTGGGGGGATATTTTAACATTTTGTAATCATGTACTTTGATGTGAATATGTTTAAGATTTCTGGTATTATATCATGCAACATTGCTCAAGTGCACACTAGGCTCCCGATTCTTTTGTTCACATTTTCTTAAACAAGTATAAAAGTGCTTCAAAGTAACATCAGTGTCTTAAAAACTGTACATAATACTAGTGTAATTAAAATCAGTGTACACTTCCACCCGTGGATATCATAAATTACCAAGATTCTATAAATTTGGAATTCTAGACCCACTAACTGCTAAACATTGTTTTGTGGAATAAGTACCCTAACTTTTTAATTATTTCCTAAGTCAGAATCAACTGACAGTGTCAATTTGATTTTGACAACTATCAATTCAACTGACAGCACTTGATTCGATTTTGACACTGCGGAAGTGTTGCCATTTTATAAAAACTCCTCCCAAAAAGTGGAAATCGCGACGGGTACGTACCTCAAGCATAAATCATGACTGTATGTAATGGCTGTCGCCTCGTAGTCATCGACTTGGAAAAAATTACTTGTTCCGTATGTTCAAGTGTCTACCATTATGGCTGCGTGAATATTTCCAAAGATAATTATGGCAAACTGTCTATCAGGACGAAGAATCTGTGGAAGTGCCCCGAGTGTAAGATGCCACGAAAGAGAGGAGATAATAGCAATACTCCAGTCAAAGAAGACGCGGCTACCTCAGACGATCACCTTCAGCAGGATGTACTCGAAAAAAAGCTGAATCAATTCGAGTCTTCTATTCTATCCAAGATGGAGTCCCTGTTTAGATCAGAAATCGAAGCCCTTCAGAGAGATATAAAACTTATCCCAGAGCTATTTAAATCCGTCGAGTTCTTATCAGCTCGATACGACGAAGTAAATTCCGAAATGGTTAAGTTGAGGACTGAGTCAGCAGCGCTTCGTGATGAAAATGCTAAACTTGGAGCCTCGGTCAAGGAACTGTCTTCTAAAATTAATACTATTGAGCAACATGCGAGGGACTGTAACCTGGAGATACAGTGCTTGCCTGAATTTCCACAAGAAAACCTCGTAAATACCGTTTTACAACTTGGCAGAGTTACATCTTGCCCATTGGAGGAAAAGGATATAATGTCCTGCTCAAGAGTTGCTAAGAACAACCCAAAATCATCGAGACCGAGGTCGGTCATCGTTAAACTACCCTCGCCTCGTATTCGCGACAGCATACTTGCCTCTTGCTTGAAATATAACAAGGCTAATTCAAAAGAAAAACTAAACAGTGCAGTGTTAGGCTTGGCAGGAGATAGTGTACCGATATACCTAAACGAGCACCTTTCTCCAGTTAACCGTTCATTACATGCCCAAGCCCGCTTGGCGAAGAAGGAAAGTAGCTACAAATACCTTTGGGTCCGCAACGGTCGCATCTTTATGAGGAAGAATGACGAATCACCTGTAATTTGGATACGCAATGCTGAAGTTCTTCAGGAACTCATATAATAATCTAGTGCTCACACTATATAGTATATATATTTTGTCAAAGTATGTTAAGATTCGTAGTGATTGTATTTTTGGTCAGCTAAGTATTTACTATCAAAATGTTCGGAGCATACGAGGTAAACTGAAAAATTTGTATTTGGCGAGTCTAAATTGCGGTTACGATATTGTTGTGATGACGGAGACATGGCTGAATGACGGCGTTTTTGATGCGGAGGTACTTAATGACAGCTATCGCATCTACCGTAGAGACCGTAACAGTACATCGTCCGGCAAAAAGGACGGGGGTGGAGTCCTTATAGCAGTGTCAAAGCGACTTCAATCTTGTCGGCTACCTCAACTGGAGAGTGTTTCTGAGGATTTGTGGGTTTCTATCACGGATTTAAACGCGGTGAAGTTGACAATATGTGCCATGTACTTGCCACCACCCGTATCTTCAGAAATTCTACAGGACTCACTTGAGAGCATTTCATGTGGCCTTTCATCTCTCGATACGAATAATATATTAATAATTGGTGATTTCAATATCGGTAATATCGAGTGGATTCCTTGTGCCCGTCTCTCATCGACGTGTTCAGCTATGTCTCTAAAGGCAAAAAATTGTTCTCTTGACCAGTCACTATCTGACTTTTTGTCGTTACATAGTCTAACACAATTCAATAAGATCCCTAACCATAATAATAAATTCCTTGATCTGGTATTATCAACTAATAATACAATTAATACTTTGGCTGTCACTGACCCCCTAGTGCATCTAGATCCACATCACCCGGCTTTGGAAATCTCTGTTAATCTTTCACCACTTCGATTTTTGAAAAAGAAAACTATTAATAAATTTAACTTCAAGCTAGCAAATTATTGAGATATTAACAAAGATTTATCCATATATATTTTACTCGATAGTTGATTCAATAATTGAAAAACATGTTCCGAAGTCGTCTTGCAACTCAGGTAAGTACCCTATTTGGTACTCCAAAAATCTCATTAAGCTTATCCGTGAAAAGGAAAAACTCTATAAAAAAGTAAAATTGTACAATAATCCTGTTGATAGGTTCGATTACAGCGAAGCTAGATCTCGATGTCATCACCTAATCAAGAAATGTTATACAAACTATTTGAGAGAGGTTGAGGAGTCTATTAGTTGTGGAAATATTAAGGCGTTCTGGAGTTACATTAAAAATAAACGTAAAAATACTGATTCTATACCAGGTCAAATGTATTTGGATGGATGCAGGTATGATACCCCGAGTTCAATATGTAATGCGTTTGCTAAGCATTTTTCGTCCGTTTATGTGGCTGATGCTGATGGATCTCAAAAGCAAGATGTCTATTCAGATTGTTCCTTAAATAATATCCTTAACAATATCTCCATATCAGAAGTTAGTATAGAGAGAGCTCTGAAGGAATTGGATCCAAAGAAAGGAGCCGGACCAGACGGTATACCACCTACATTTCTTCGTAGCTGCGCGTCTGCTTTATCATATCCACTATATCTCATATTCAGCCACTCACTCTCTTCTGGGAATTTTCCGACACGATGGAAGGAAGCCAATGTTTTGCCAATCCCTAAGACCGGTGTATCTAATGATGTGCGAAACTACCGACCTATCTCATTACTGTCTGGTTTCTCTAAGCTTTTCGAAGCACTTGTTTGTCAGTATTTCGCTAATACTTTTAAATCTGTTCTTGCTTCGCAACAACATGGCTTTCGCCAGAAAATGTCTACTGTCACTAATCTCTCCTGCTTCATAACGGATTTGTCAGAGGAGCTAGACCGGGGCCGACAGGTGGACGCTATATACACTGATATAAGTAAAGCATTTGATAAGGTTAACCATATAATATTATTAAAGAAGCTTCATTCAGTCGGTGTGCATGGTTCCCTCTTGAATTGGTGCCGATCTTATCTTGTTCGGAGGTGTCAAAAAGTTGTTGCATGTGGCTATGAGTCAAGTCCCTTTTACGTTCCGTCAGGCGTCCCCCAGGGTTCTCATCTAGGACCTATTTTCTTTTTAATATTTATTAATGACCTTGTCAATGTCGTTCAACATTCGGAATGTTTACTGTTTGCAGATGATTTAAAAGTTTACAAAACAATTGAAAATTTTAATGAATCCATATTACTGCAACAGGATCTCAATAGAATAGCTGAGTGGTCTTCAATTAATAAACTACCATTGAATCCGGATAAATGCAAACACATAAAATTCACAAAAAAGCGCAACGCTTTAAATACATCATATTCTATCAATTCCCATCTTTTAGAAGAAGTTTCGAGCATTCGTGATCTGGGGGTTGTTTTAGACCATAAGCTTTCTTTTCGTCATCACTATGATCACATCATAGCAAAATCTTTAAAGCTTCTTGGTTTTATATGGCGTAACTGCAAGCGTTTTAAGAAAATTGATGCTCTAAAGTATGCTTATTTTGCATTGGTGCGCAGTTCACTTGAGTATTGCTCGAGTATTTAGAATCCTAAATATAACTGTCATATAGAGCGATTAGAAAAGGTCCAGAAAAAGTTTCTATTTTTCTTGTCTGTGCATCAGGGTAAAAAATATAATTTGTTATCTTATAGGGATAGACTGGACTATTTCAAGTTTACTTCGCTGGAGGATCGTAGGTGGGTGGCCGACCAGGTCTTGTTGTATAAAATTGTAAACAGTGTAGCAGAGTGCCCTAAATTACTAAGTAATGTGAAATTTAAAATACCTCGACCAAACACCAGAATGGTAAATTTTAAACCCTTTTCATTGAAATTTTTTAGAACTAAGTTAGGCGCACATAGTGTGCTCAATAGACTGTGTGACGAACATAATAGGTTTTGTAGATCGATTGACTTGTATGCTCTTTCTTTGTTACGTTTTCGAAAATTACTGTATCTGATAAGACCTACAACTATAAGCCAAATTCAAATTTAATTTAATACATATTCCATTTAATTTAGTGTTTTAATGCATTTTTGTTTTAATTTTTAGTATAGTTTAAGTTTCTTGAATGTGCAATGGTTATTTATGATATTGGTGTGGTGAGTTGGTTGTTACAGGCGAATAGACGTATGTAAGAATTATATTAAATATCCTTTAGTTATAATGCCAGTGTAATACTTTATATATATATATGTATTTCCGTTTTTTTTTTTTGTTCATGTTGAGTTTGCCAGTAATTGTTTTTGCACTATGCTGAAAATTGTTACATATAAGTGTGATTATGTAAGTTAAGGTGTAAAAATGTTGGCAGACCTTTAATAAATAAATAAATAAATGTTTGTTTTCTTTTTAAATTGGCAATATGTACGAGTCACGTACAGTAATCTTGTATATCTGCAGAGCAAGCATAACCTACTTTAATCACGTAGCTGTATCTAAGAAATGCATCATAATACATCATTGTTCTTGGTATATAAAAACTTAACTTTGCATAATAAATCAATGCTCATCATGCATTTAACAGTATCAGTTGTGTTTCTTCCTTTAACCTAATATCATTATGTAGGGAGTCACCCCTATAGTATGAATTGCGCTATGGTTCTTTAAACTTCTGAATTTGATATCAGTCACTTTTTTTATTCATAAAGAGCATTACAAGGATACACTATCTGTCAAATTTAATTTTAAGTTTAGAGAATGATGTTAGAGTTGGGTCCATTATCTATTATCGGCTTGACTGACATGACTTAATAATTCAGTAACTTTTCTATATATTTCGTGTTCCACGAATTTTAAGTTTATTTCAATTATCAAATAAATATTTTAAATTAATTTATGTATCATTACACTTAAATGCTTCGCTCGTTAACTAATATTTTACATACATGACTCCTACAACTTTCGAATCTCATTATAAAAACAAACAATATTATTGCAAAATTAATACAAAGACATAAGGTAGTAATTTTGTACGTAGGCCAATAACCTCCGGCCGGGCACGTGGTACGAGATCCGCGTGGTGGCGCGCTCGGCCGCCGGCGACACCGCCGCGCTCTACCGCGCCGCCACGCACACCGCTAACGGAGGTAAAGCTGCTCATTATGATACTTCTGATTCCATTTGCAGTACTTTTCAAGACACAACCGTTCCAAAAGTGAAATAAAATAATATTACTTATAATGAAATAAATAAAATATAAATGAAATAAAAAATATGTTGACTGTGGTAATACTTATTTTCTTTTATCAATTATATTTTAAACGTTATACCTACTTCTGACATAGCATTTCTTAGTTTACTATTTATGAAGTTATCTTAATAAAATTTCCAAAAATTAAGTTTGTAATTTTCATAAGAATAAGTAAAAGTTGTTGGTCGCGGTCAGAACGCTTGGGCGAGCCGGTGGAGCTGCCGCTCGAGGCGCGGGGTCGAGCTGTGGGAGCGGCGGGGGTGGAGGAGGGGGCGGGGGCGGCGCCGTGGCGCGGCGGGCTGGCGCCGCTGCTGCTGGCCGCAGGGGTCGCCGCGCTGCTCGCCGCCGTCGCAGGTCTGTCAGATACCAGTGTATCACGAGATGCCGCTCGAGGCACGCGGTCACGCGGCGTGGCGCGGCGGGCTGGCGCCGCTGCTGCTGGCCGCAGGGGTCGCCGCGCTGCTCGCCGCCGTCGCAGGTCTGTCAGATACCAGTGTATCACGAGATGCCGCTCGAGGCACGCGGTCACGCGGCGTGGCGCGGCGGGCTGGCGCCGCTGCTGCTGGCCGCAGGGGTCGCCGCGCTGCTCGCCGCCGTCGCAGGTCTGTCAGATACCAGTGTATCACGAGATGCCGCTCGAGGCACGCGGTCACGCGGCGTGGCGCGGCGGGCTGGCGCCGCTGCTGCTGGCCGCAGGGGTCGCCGCGCTGCTCGCCGCCGTCGCAGGTCTGTCAGATACCAGTGTATCACGAGATGCCGCTCGAGGCACGCGGTCACGCGGCGTGGCGCGGCGGGCTGGCGCCGCTGCTGCTGGCCGCAGGGGTCGCCTTTTATAGTAATTAATATTTTACAACACAAAATAATTGTTAAGGAAACCTTACTTTCATTTTTAACACTCATCTACTAAACGTTATTGAAAACCGATGTATTTGTTCGTTGACAAATAAAGTAATGCGCTGCCGAGGAGCTATCGCGTGATTGGTGCTAATATCGGGCCTAACGCCCCACTATGCCTCTGTTGCATTTCGGCCATTACAAATGAGCTCAAGTAGTATCTCTTCGAACGCGCCATCTTTTTTCCGGCATCTTTGTAGTTTTTGTTTCTATCCCTTATAAATCAGGTAGAAATTTTATAGTATTGTTTCAAGAAAATCTTTTTGGTTTGTTAATACATATTTTGGTTCTGTTCGACTGAAATGTAAAAATCTATTTTAACAGTAAAATTATGTGTTGATTTAATTATTCATGTGTTTATATAACGTATAATCACCACATACTATTACACCAAAAAAATAACATATAATATATTACGGTAAATATGTTTTTATTAGCTATGGATTTTTGATACAACCAGTCAATCACGGTCCTGAAAAAAAGACGGACGTAACATCAAACTAAAACGATGTGAAGCATGCAAGGTCCTACAATTTCGTTTATTGTACATATCGGGAATCTAGGAGTATTATTATTATTAAAATGACCAGAATCGATATCGCTATCATAGCCAGCGGTTCTGCCTGGTTCGTCCATGAAGAAGTTTAATTAATGAATAAAAAGTAATTAACTGTGTAACACTACTTTTTAATAAATTACTTTAACAATTACAATAACCGCGTTTTATTTTTATCAATTCACTTCTTCACTTACAAATCACTTTAAACGATCACTTCTTTAAACTTGATTCAATAATAGTAAAAGATAAAGATAAACGAAGGGGCAGAGTTTCTGCTAACTACTGTTCACTTCAAAAATCAGACGCAAAGTGCCCAGCCTGTGCCCCGCCGTCGAACGATCGCAACGTCCCCACTCCACGACCTTCCAATCGGAGCGTGGACCAATGGCGTTGCGCCATTCCGATATCATTAACAGCCAAATAAGTTTTGTAATTATAATCCGACTAAATTTACTTACAAATAGTTACAGATTTTCAACTTTAAATTAACAAATTAAATTAAATGAATTAATCAATCAATACAAAACTTTAGATTAATATTAAGTGTCAACCAACTTTCGTGTCATAATGTCAGTCACATGACTTTTACAATAAAGTACTTTAAGCGATGGTGAGGATATTAGAGTAAATAATTTAGTTGAAAATATTAACATTATTTCATCTTAATTTTAGTATAGACAGTATCATAATTAATAATCACAATTTTTCCTTAATCAACTATGGTAGAAAAACGTATGCGGCGACATACACTATTTACACTCACACAAATGCACCAGGTCGGACAAACCGCTGCCATTGAACTCCGCGCGACAGCGGCAGTCACACGTTTAATTGCTACTACATTTTTTTAAATATGCCGTCTTGTGTGATGATATCATGTAAAATCTGCAAGGGTAAACTTAATAAGCCACAAGGACCTACCATGCGTAAGTAATGACAAATCGTGATAATTTTTCAAAATTATATTTTATTTAATGTGATGAAAATTCTAAGCCTAAAATACAACTGATAAAAGTAGCCACTTTTTTAACGGGAAAATTTTCCTAAAAGTGGGGAAATTTGTATTTCACGCATAATTGCTATTTCTTCTTTCAAATGTTTAATACTTGAAAAAGTATTCATTTGACATTGTGGGTTAACTACAATGCGAAGAGATGGCGCTGCCTTGCAGCTTAACGCTAGGAAAATTTCGACGCGGTTAATAGGGCCGTGGTAGCATAATGGTCAGTGCATTCGCCCGGATTGTGAAGGATACGGGTTCGAGTCCCGTCCGCTGCCTGGTCCGCGTGGATTTTTTTCTAGTAAACTTTTCTTTAGATTATAACTTAAATATTCTCTTTATCTATCTCTTACGGTTTGGCCGCTGAAACAGCACCACAGACGGACGGACGGACTTCTCTAATAGTTAAGAGATTCAATGAGTACTTACATCAAAGTGATCTTCGTAAAAATAAATTTTGCTATGAGCCGCTAAAGTTGCAGGATCACTTTTAGCAAGTTCTAACCAGGTATTGCGTAGGTTAATTTCTTTCGGCACACAACACAATCATACAACTTTCCTGGAGTCTTCAAGGATGTGTTTTTACATTCTCGTACAATACAATAATGATAATTACTATATTTTTTGTGGTATCTATTAGAAATCATGTTTTTTTTTTATTATAAACTCAGATAGGTTATTTTCTACGTGCTTACGAGTTTTTGTTTACTACCGTCAACGTCATAACATAGACAATCTAAAGACTAAAATGGCCGACAGCGTTTTTGTATGTCCATGAAAAGTCTATTTTAAAATTAAAGATTTGTAGCTTTCTAGGTCTCAAAAAAATACAGTACATTTTTTTCGGTGTAATAGAACATTTATTAACCATTTAAAACCTTTTTCCAAAAAGGGTCAACTAGCCTATTGGAACTCGTCAACTCCCAGTACTGTATGCAGTGCACATTTGATGATGGAGACTTTATAATTACAGCTAAGGGGCTACGTTGTTTGGTTGCGTAAGCAATCTGCGCGATTTACGTTATATATAAATTCTCGTGTCACAATGTTAGTTACCATACTCCTCCGAAACGGCCTGACCGATTTTTATGAAATTTTATATGCATATTCCGTGGGTCTGACAATCGGCTACTATCTATTTTTTATATCCTTAAGTGATAATGGTTGTCCACCTGTAACGTAGTGTTCTGAAACCTACAATGCGCCTTCGCGCCAAAATTCTAACTACTGGGTATTGTAACGTAGTGTTCTCATATGGGTTAGGAGCAATGTTATCCCAGGAAATTGATAAAACACTACGTTACACACCCCTAAATTTTTTTTTTTATAACGTGCTATTAAAAAATACATACACCCCTAAATTTTCTCTTCTACCACCTGCCCCTATTTTTATGGTGGTACGAAGTTCGCTAAGTCAGCTAGTTAATCTATAGAATACTAGCTGACTCGGCGAACTTCGTACCGCCCAAAAGTAATAATTTGCAATAAAATAATATTGCGACTATAAATTGAGAAGTAAGCTATCGCATCTTTCAAGTTAGATCAAACTGCACACGGTGTGCAAATTTCATTAAAATCGGTCAAGTAGTTTAGGAATTAAGATTTTTTCTCGAAAACAAACCAAATGTGCCAAAGTTTTATGCAGGATTCAAATCTGCGTGTTCCGTTGGCCGGGCGAATGCACTCACTCCTAGCATATGTGGTAGTTCCTACAATAAAACTAATGTTAATATCAAGTTCCAAATTAGCCCTGATTGCACTGATAATTTGTTTATTATAAATGTATATTATTAACCTCATACTTAATATTAAGACATTTATTTACATTTAATATGTAAACAATAAATTTCTTTATACGTAGCGAGTGTTTTCTTTTCTATGCTATTCTAGGCCAACATCATGTTTCTGAAGTGCAACCGTTTAAATTGCTGAAATATCGGGAGTTCACAAAGAGTAAATCATGTAGTAAATATCCCGTAATTATAATATATATTTGATTACATAATGTTAACAAAGTTTTAGTTTGCGAGATTTAAATAGTAGGGAAATTGATAATTTACCCGACAACCCTCAAATCACGCACACGCGCTAAGCGGGCGGCCATTGGAATGCTTCACTCACGATTAGACGAGGCTACGTCCGTCTTTTTTTCAGGTCCGTGCAATGAATATCATGTAATCGAATTTAAACCAATGGTACCTATTAGCTGTCATCTGTCAGTTAGTGACAAATTGCGTCTAAGAAATAACGTTTCTGTATAAGCAGGTTATGTATTTTTATTCAGATTTTAAGCATTTTTTATTTAATTTATTGAGATTTTAATAATAATATTTTATTATTAAAACCTTAATACCTTATTACATTACCTTATTTTAATAATAAGGCGCATTGTTATTAACATTCTGTGGACTGTTTAATATTGCCTGAAAATAAATTATTATTATTATTTAATAAATGATTCTCTTTAAGCCTAATTTTAAAAATAATTTGACAAAGGGACATTGGGCAAAAATGTATGGACGCTGCACCCACGTCCGCCACGGCTTAAACTACGTTTGTTTGAAAGGTATTATAGTCAAGATCATCTGTGCCAAAGCGCATCAAATTCCATCCCGGGGGTCTTTAGTTATTTTAAGTTAAATATGTAGATGTACTATAACGAACGAACATTAATGAAACAAGGGAATTAATTTAGTTAGTTAGTTCGACCCTACTCCGTGCTCAGGAATTATTGGAGTACTTTGTATGGTGCATATGGGTTGGGTTTTTTTTTTAAACATTCTGTTCGTTATAGTAAATTGTCTTCTATGTAAAACGAAGCGACCACAGATTACACAAACTTGTCCACGCTTCGGAGAACACATAATTCCAGTTTATGCATACTAATTGACAAAATCGATAATCGTGTTTCAATATCCAAAGCGTGTTAGATAAAAATCAATCAAGTAGCAGGGACCGCACAATCACAACGAAGTAAGACGAGTCAACTATTTGCAACTGCAAGTCCTTCAGCATTCGTAAACCGTTTTGAAATGTCTCAGTAAGAGCAAGCGCAGGATAATTGGCAGGCTTTGTCGTATATCTGGTTGTATAATACGACATGGCATATTATTATGATTACTAATAATATAAAATGAAGGTACTATAAAATTAATTTATTTAGCTACTTAAATATGCCCATGTGTCATATCTATTGACTACCAGGATATTTTTTACGGTGTCATATCTTTTGACTCCCAGGATATTTTCTTTTCCGTGTAATAATAAAAAAGACTAGTTTTTCATAGATCTATCGATTCATGAGGATGTAATGTTACTATCCCTACAAATAGCGAGCGGATACGAAGTGAAACACCGTAGAAGAAATACAATTCGTATACCGA